ACTCCAGACATTGACCACTCTGTTGCTGAAATCATATTTTCTGCAATCGAGTTTGGCACAGTTTACCTTGAGTTTGTATCTATTGTGTGCTCATATATTGTTGCGGTTAAAGCTGAAGTAGTCATTGAAAAGTCATTGCAATAGATAATTTTATATACTACACTTAGTTCAGACCGAAGACAGCGTAGTTCTAAGTTGTCTAAGCCTAAAATTTCAAGTCTGGTAGCATAAGGTATTCTGTCGCAAGTAGAGGAGTAGAGGATTCTTCTCATGAAATATCTCCAGACACTCGTGACTGTATTCATATCCAATATACGATGCGGGTTCCAGACAGATGTGCTGTATTCGAGAATTGGTCTAGCAAATGTTTTGTATGCTCTGGTTAGGAATACAATATTAACAGAGAAAAAGCTACACGGGATTAGTCTAATAACTCTTAATGCCTTTTTGACTATGTAGTTACAGTGGACTCTAGCACTTAAATCATTAAAGATGAGTACTCCAAAGTCCTTGACAGAGTGGGGGTCATCTACAAGGTCATGTCCATTCAGCTTGTATTTTATTTTCTGATTTTTCTTTTGCAAATATGTAAGACAGAACATTTGTTTGTTGAGATTTGAAGTTGCCACTTTTGACCATTCTGACACAGAGTCAAGGTCTTTTTTAAGGGTAGCAGTATTGTCTGTGGTGTTGAATAGCTTTACATTATCAGTGAAAAGAGCGCAATTTCTTTTAATATGATCACAAAGGTCATTTATGTAAAGTACAAAGAGAGTTGGTCCTAGAACGCTGCCTTGGGGGACACCACTGTTGACAGGGACAGGATTTGATAGTGTGCCCCTTATTTTGACCATTTCTTTCCTGTTTGACAGGAATGCAACTATCCAATCATGCACGTGTCCAGAGATACCATATGATTTTAGTTTTAAAAGTAGTTTGTCATGTATCACTGAATCAAAGGCTTTACAGACGTCTATGTAAATAGTGTCTATTGGCTTGCCATGATCAATTTGTGTGGTCCATATCTTTTTGCAGGAGTTTCAGACTTCAGGATAATTTTTTTCTGAAACTAAATTGTTTGTTAGAGAATAAGTTGTTTGTCTTTAAGTGGAGGGTAAAGGATTGGTTAATAATTGATTCCGTGACTTTGCAGGTGATGCAACGTAAAGAGATTGGTCTGTAATTTTCAACTACGCTGGGGTCTCCCTTTTTGAAGATGGGGCTGACCATGGCTAGTGACCATAGTTTGGATAAGGAGCTGGTCCTGAAAGATTTTTCAAAGATGATGCTTAGAGGTTCTGCTATCACAGTGGAAAACCTCTTTCTACTTTCTCGCTAGCTTTCTTCCACTAGCCTCTTTCTCATGATTTCTTATTTACCAAGACCGGGCTCACATTTTTCTAATGGTCACCATATGTTTCCTCCAAGGTTATCTTTGTATAGGTGGGTAGAACATTTATATTTATTGCACATTAAACAGCTTTTGGAAATGTGAGATTGTGAATAGTTCTTTTACTTGTACAGTAAGTGGACAAGTGGAAAGGTTAGGATTAATGTCTCCCCATTGGACAATTCCCATGATGCTGTGGTTTTCCCCTGACATATCTTTACAGCCATGGCAGGAGGATCATCTGAGAACACCTGTAAGAAGGAATCTAATACTGCTTGTACTACAGGATCTTAAAGATCTACAGCCTCTTAGTCACAAAGCCCATTTTTGGATTGGACAGCATTCTGCAGCATTTTGGAAGCCAAAACTGGGAAGGGCATTTTCACTAACCCGTTTTCACTAGCAGAGGCACCACAGGCCGTCCTTTGCTATTTGCAAGCCTTGAATTTAACAACCCTGGGATAAATTATATCTATGTAATATACAAAAACAGACTTCACTTCCCCAGGTCTTCTCTTTGAAAGTTCACAAATGATGGCTATAATCATCTTGTCAGATTATCAAATCCAAATATATCAATCTGGAAGGAAAAAGGAGTGACAACATTGGAATACCTTACTTTCCAAGCTGATAAATTTAAATGACAACATCTGAGCCATTGTTCTGTCTGTTCCCAGGTTTCTCCTTGTTTCTCTTAGTCTGGCACTGGAAATAGAAATTACCCAAAAATTTGCCATGGACAAATGTAGTAGAGACATAGATCCTGTAGGGGGTGCAAGCAGCACACTGCTGTGCCTCAACACCTATATGGGCCTCAAATATCAACATGATTTCACTTAGCAGAGCTGTCCCTAGCATGTACATGATCTCGCCTGCTAACAGCATCACTTCTTTACTTGTATATTCTTAAGGATTGGGATTCACCAAAACAAATACTATTTCTATATTACTTTTTTCTGCTTGTAAAAACTGTATAAAAGCAATAAACACTGTCCAGGCAGTCAGACATCTTGGCACCCTGCAAAATGACTGGTCTTTGAACTCCATCAGACAAAGTGGCATATACACTTAGAATTGCCGTGTTGAACTCTGACATTTGAGGATGCCAGTTTAATCTCATCTCTTTCTCACCACCTGGATCAATTCAAAATCAAAATGGAAGAGAAGATGCTGTCAACACTTTAAATGAAGATTCAGCTACACTCTCCTTGCCACCCAAGAACTGAACGTGGCTAGAAATGTGTCCTACAATAGAACAAAAATATGGTTTTAATTCATCTAATGAAGAATTGAGTGAGTTTGATACAGTGGTAATAAAATTGCAGCAAAGGTCCTGATATCCCAACCAAAACAGTACTGGATAGATAAATGTTTATGGAAATTCTCTGTCATCCAGGTCATGATTGTCCCAAAGGTGTTTTCAAAAAGCAACTGGACCTTCAGAGTACAAACAACCAGATGACTTCAAAGAATATGAATCCTTCCATTGCTCACCGTTCAGTCAGAATTGCAGAAGCTTTATTGAAAGAAAGAAATGGCTTTCAAGATCCAACATTAATTTTATTTGCATGCAAGCAAACAGTGATGTGGTATTGTAGCTCGGTGCTGTGACTTGGATCAAAATGATGAGAGGGAAGACAGTCAATCACTTGCAATGCTTGAGGTTTCTGCTACCTCCGTTATGCACCTCCAATCTGGACTGTTTCAAGAGGTATCACCTGGGGGAACAGTTACCTCGTAGTACCACATAATGCACAAACACACCCTTTATTGTCAAGTTACTATTTAGCTATAATTAACAGTCTTTGAGAATGTATAACAAAAGTATATTTGTAGGTGAGGAAACCTGTATCAACCATTAACAGCAGAAAAATTGCACATCATTGAGTGCTGTGTCATCACCAACTCCCTGATAATCCTCCACCTTTGTTCTCATCCCACAAATGCCACCTAACCGGCAGTGTTTGCTCCATGGACCCCATTCACCCCAGCTCAAGCCACGGCCCATCAGTCCAGTACCATCACTGCAGGTGAACTGGATGTTGTTAGCTGCTGTATCATCACCTGCTAGTTGCATTGGTTCCACTCTCAGGGAAAAAGAAACCAGGAAGCCTCCAGGGCAGCGTTGTTTTCTGGTCCAGGTTCCCCACCTTCCAAAAAAGACAAAGATAGATAAGCATAACTTTAGTATGTAAATTAAACACATGTCATCAGTCCAAGAGATTCAGTCATAATGGCTAAACTCCTGGGTTAGGAATCAAGTTAAAGTCTACTTTGGGCTATATTATATCAATAATTCAATTTAACTCTTTGAGCTATTGTAGAAAAAATTGGCAATAAAATTTAGCTATTGCCATAAAACCCTAGGAAAAATTGGATACAAAATGCTTCCCTTGATCTCTTTCCCAAGACTTCTCCTAATCCATGTCATGTTCAGAATCCATTACAACAGGGACTTCTCATGCCACAAATTGTCTTGCACTATTGTAAGAACCATTTCCCCTCAAAAGAAGACCTCTTCCTTTTATTACACACCAGTGAAGAGGTGAGTCATTATTTAACTAGAAAATCCCATATGGAAATCCAGTGCCTCATTTTCTTAGTGGAAATCTGGGGTTACCTTTTTACATTAAATATGGCATTCCACAGGAAAATAGAATTCTTCCTCAGGCTGTTATGTCGTTCTTCCTCATGATTTTCTTTGGGGAGAGAGGATTTTGCAATAAAGAAATTTGGAACATCTCAGATGTCCAATGCTCCCCTAATCCTGATTTGAGGCACTTTGATTGCTGAGACCTTCATTTGCAATTAACCTTATTAGATAACTGGATAAGCAGGCAAAAGGTATTGCAAATCATAGTTACCATCATTCTTTAATCTGGTAACAAAAATATTCCCTAGCATGGTGACTGAAGAGACTGGCATTTCATTTTGAAAAACTGCGCTCTCGATTAGCTCATCATCCTGGAAGCGTAGACTCCCGGCTTCTGTCAGATCTCGAGAGTAAGACCGGGAGGCTGGCAGACACGGCATCAGTGAAAATGGAGACAACCATACACCTGACACAGACCCTGGCATGGAGTGACATCAGTGGGAATAGAAACAACCACAATGCCCAATACTCAAGGCTAGTCCTGCTGATGTGTCAGGCTCTAGGCAGGCGGCATACACAGATGAGCTCCCAGAGACCGACACAACCTCTTTAACACTTTTTTTTTGCTCAGTCTTTCTAAACAGCAATGGATCATGCCCAATATTTTATAGTCGAACCACAGATAATTACAATGATCGAATATGTATCCACTTTACAGAAGATAACATTGAAAAACATTACACAATCTAAAACCATCTCCATCTATTGGACCCGATGAACTATGTGCCTACTTCTTAAAAAAAGCTTTCTACTGCCATAGCAGAACCTCTAAGCATAATCTTTGAAAAATTGTTCAGGACCAACTCCTTGCCAAACCTATGGTCACTAACCAAGGTCATCCCCATCTTCAAAAAGGGAGACCCCAGCTCAGTTGAAACTTACAGACCAATCTCTTTATGTTGCATCATCTGCAAAGTCACGGAATCGATTATTAACCAATCCATTACCCTCCACTTACCCTCCACAAATCTTCTGTCTTACATAATGGCAAAAAAAATCAGAAAATAAAATACAAGCTGAACGGACATGACCTTGTAGATGATCCCCACTCTGTCAAGGACCTTGGAGTACTAATCTCTAATGATTTAAGTGCTAGAGTCCACTGTAACTACATAGTCAAAAAGGCATTAAGAGTTGTTTTCCTAATTCTGTATAGCTTTTTCTCTGGTAATATTGTACTACTAACTAGAGCATACAAAACATTTGCTAGACCAATTCTCAAATACAGTTCACCTGTCTGGAACCCTCATTGCATGTCAAACATTAATACTATCGAGAGAGTCCAGAGATATTTCACAAGAAGAGTCCTCCACTCCTCAGATTGCAGGAAATACAACTTCAACAACAGTGTGGTCAATGTCTGAAGTATACTACCTGACTGTAGTTTCTTCCCCAAACCCCCAAAACTTTAACCTTAGACTGTCTACTCTTAACCTCACCCTATTCCAAGAAGTCTGTAAGGGGCATGCATAAGTGCACCAAAGTGCCTACTGTTCCTGTCCTAATGTTTCTTTTTATTCGTATCCATTTCATGTATTTATAATCATGTTTATTCTTTACCTGTTATCTAATACATGCTTGACAATAAAATAAATAAATAAAAATGAAATAAATAACCACCATATCCTACTCCTGGCTGGCCCTTCCCATCCCACACCTGCCAGGAGTCCCCATGCAGCCCATTTTGGATGCAGGTAAGTGCAGGGCATCCATGAAGACTTGGAGAGGGCAAAAACTGGACCTCCTAGAAGTTTGGTAAGGCTGGAAATGAGCCCATTTCTGGCTTCCAAAGAGCCTCCAGACCCTGGGGAGGACACTTTTACCAACCCGTAGGCTCAAAGAAAGCCTTCAGAGCTCAAGAAGGGCAAAAACTCCCCCAGTGGTGCAGGAGGCTAAGTAGGCCATGCCCACCATGGCCACAACTACCCAGAAATTGGGCAGAGAATCCTTTGCTAAAAATTTTAAAGACCACACCTGATAACAACCACATTCCTATCCTTCATAAACAACTCTTGCACACAGAGCTCAGCACTGCAGTCCATGTCTCTTCACAAAGAGTTATAAGAAGGGCAAATAGATTCATAAACTGTACAACAAGAGAAGTGTGTAGGTGACTAAAGTCGACAACAGGCCTTAAGGCAATGAATGCATATCAGGGAAAAACAATGGAAGGCGGCAAAAGAGATACACTTACTATGGCCCACAAACTAGTTGCTACAACACTGCACCACTCAGGGACACAAAAGTCTCTGATCACCTGTTCATTCAGAGAGGCCATTCAACAACCCTTTCAGTGCTTTTCCCTTTTGTAATCAGCAAAGTTGATTTTCAGGATTGGGTAGCATTGAACTAACCAGTAGACATCTCCTCTCCCATTCTTCATGACAATAAAATGCTATATGATAAAAAAAAAAAAGTCAGTTACTCACGGTCCAACTTTAGACTCAATTGTTGTGCCATTGGGACAGTACAAGCGGATTCCATTCAAAGCTGTATCGTCCTTTGCCCCTTGCTTTTCTTCCACCTAAGAAAATATGACCCTGATGAAGTTCTAGATCAGCCTTTCTCCCCTTGCAGTCCTTCAATTCTCAGAAATGCCAACATTTACCCATAAATATTGGACAATGCATTGGATCAAGATTAGATGGTCCACACAATATTCCACACAAAACACAATACCTTTCTTTCATTAGAGAATCAAAGAGGAGTAAGCATCAATACAATTCTTGATTGCCTTTCTTGAAAGATAAGCTGAAAAATTTTAAGAGAAGATTCCAAAGTTAAGGAGCATCTGAAAAATAAACTTTTACCTTCAGGGAGAAGCCATGAGCAAAGCCATAAGAGCAAAATGAATCTGGACCCCATTCACCCCAGAAACGTGGATTTGGCACAGTGAGTAGGGAATAAACCTTTCGAGATTCGGTATTCCACAGGCAGCAGGGGATAGTCAAAAGAAGAGCGGCGCTGGCAAAGAAATCCATGGAAACCAGTCTCCTTCCTGAAACAGAAAAGTCTTCAGATATTGCAACGTCCTAGAAACCAGAAACCAATCATAAAGTATCAGCAGTACCACCCTCATCAAAACATGCTTTTCGGTTCTTTTATTTTGTACCTTTGCATCAGCCGTAATTCCAGGGAACTGTCTGGATTTGACCCTCAGTTTTAACTAATACAACCAATTGCTTGAAATGACTTTTATTGACTGTTTCCTAGTATGATTCGATTGCTTATTGTACTCTATGACTATTATTAAGTGTTGTACCTTATGATTCTTGACTCTTGATGAATGTATCTTTTCTTTTATGTACAATGAGAGCATTTGCACCAAGACAAATTTCAACAATGTCCAAACACAGTTGGCCAATAAAGAATTCTATTCTATTCTGTTCTACACCAAGCTGGCCTCTACCATCAACAGCTTAGAGGATTCATGGCTTATAGAAAAAAACAGAGAGTGACATGGACAATGAATTCAAATACATAATTTTCAGAATCTTGCACAAACTTTAATTCCTATAAAATTAGTCTGAGTCAACAAGGTATGTTGAGAAACCATTTGCATAATTTCCATAATTTCTTGCAAGTCAAAATGCATTTTGTCCTTGTACTAATGGAGGGAATTAATATCTAATATTAATTTATAACATACAACAAAACATAGCATTAATAATAAACACTGCAATCAAAAAGTCGTAAACACATAATCACTGGGTTATTTTGAGACAGTGCGTCCCATTCACCTCAAAATTCTTACCAAGACTATTGAAAAAAGATGAGGAAAAGAATATTAGGTAAGCCATTAGAAGCTCCTAAAGGAAGAAGTAGAACTAAATAAATAAACTGCCTGGCCCTTGAACTGAGTAAATCCTGTTTTTCGACTCTGTGAAAATGCCTAGAAATCCCAAAAGGCCAGTTTGCCATCTGAGGCATGGGTTGTATTAGGATTAGTTTTCCCCACAAGACCATCACTTTGCACATAGGGGAGATTGCCAAGCCAGCCATTTTGCAAGTGTGCCCATTAAATGTTTTCAACATTCCAAATTGGCTCATGCATCAAAAGATTGTTTCTTGCCCCCTTACTGTTTTTTTCTCTCCTTTCTTACACCTTGTGTACCTTTTCTCTTTCAAATTCTATAGACTCTTTTGCTTTTGTTCTGCCTTAATTTCTCGGTCTCTCCCTCCTTCTGAAATGTGAAGGCATCTCTCAATGTCCACCCTAAACATTACCGTTATCTATATTCCACTCGGGGTGGAAACTAATGAAGGAGAGAAGCAACCTGGAATTAAGGAGAAATTTCCTGACAGTTAGAACAATGAATCAGTGGAAAAACTTACCTCCCGATGCTCCAACACTGAAAGTTTTTAAGAAGAGATTGGACAACTATTTGTCTGAAAGGGTATAGGGTCTCCTGCTTAAGCAGGGGGTTGGACTAGAAAACCTTCAAGCTCCCTTCCAACTCTATTATTTTATCCTAGTCATTCTTTCTATTCTTCCAAACAGTTAAATGTATGTAATTCTGACTCAATGACCCTGGCCTCCTTTCCCTACTATTCGCAGCTCCACTTACCGTCTTTCTGCAGGTAATTTTCCTACAGCCAGAATGGGAAAGACTTTAAATGGACAACTGTTTGTAGGCAGGACAGAAGTAGGCGCAGGGTCATTAAACCTGAGCTCCTTCTGTATCCTTCACTGGATGGAGCCAGGAAATAAAAAATGATTGTGGTTGCTATCTGAAAATAAGATCTAGTTTATTTGCATTTTGCTCTAGTCCACTGAATGCTTAGCTGATGGTTGGTTTAATTAGGTTTATTAACATGCTGACCTATTAAAAAAACACTATAAAAACAGGCCTTTCAGTAGCCATTGGCTATCAAAAGGTAAACCCATATTAATCATGGAAGTGGTGGTGGTGATAGTCATGGTAGTGATGGTGATGATGATGATGATGAAGAAGAAGATGATGATGATGAAGATGGAGGAGGAAGACAAGGAGAAGGAAGAAGAAGGAAGGAGGAGGAGAGGAGGAAGAGGAGGAGGAGGAGGAGGAGGAGGAGGAGGAGGAGGAGGAGGAGGAGGAGGAGGAGGAGGAGGAGGAAGAGGATATATATTGGTATATTGTTAGAACTCAGATTATTAATTTCATTCACTTAATTGTGCCTAATGTGATCACACAGAGAGATTGTATATATTTCCTCCCTTGAAATGACAGAAAATTAACATGCTAATTTTTAATAATTACAGTCAGAAGAGACTTGGGAATCTCACAAATAATGGTGAGGGGGGCATGAATTGCTTATTTCTGCAGTAAGCCATAGTTTGTGCAGCACAACAGAAGTTTACCTAGTGCTAATTCCAACAAACCATTTTATGGGTTACCACCATGTAGCTATCCAGCCATTAGAAAGGATATATTTCTTTCTTTTTACAACATTTAGTAACACACACAATATTGTGTGCGTGATATTGAGGGAAGACAAAATTATTAACCATGTGTCCATGCTAATCACATTAATTCATGATCATTCCAAGAACAGCTGCAGAGATGCAGCAAACTCAACAACTGTGATTGTGCGGAATGTGTTTTTTGTTTTTCTAGAAAAGATTTTTGCCCTGGAAAACGTGTACATTTTCAAAACTTTTCCAACTCCCTTAGGCCATTAAGTTCTTAATTTTCAAAATGTACACATTTTTATTTTTTATATATTTATCACATATAATCTTGCCACCGTGGCCATTCAGTTCAACCATTTCTGTAATTATATATCTATGTAAGTTTTGAAATGGATTATTAAGGTGGATCTAAAACAAATGCTGAAGCTAACTGCTCAAAATATGCTTTCTAAACTGATTGATGAAACTAATTGCTGAAATGATTTCTGAAAATTAACTGATTACACAAAAATGAACTGCTGAACTATATCATGGTGAAATAACAATGTCCTGGAAATTTTTTTCTAATCAGTTTTAGTCAATCTGCCATTTACAGTGTAACTTATGACCTGAAGAGAACACCTCCTAATGTCTTGTTCCAAGAATGATTGGGTTTGGATTGCATCGACTTCTGCAGAAAACAGCCCAGCAATGGTATTAATCAAGGAGAGTAGACCATCACAAAAATATTTTGATGGCAAGTGGGGAGAGCACAAAGTAGGTGAGTCCAGGAGTGTGTGCTGTTATTTTGTTAACAAGGGATGGGAAGGGGAAGGATATATCCTCCTTTTGATCAAGAGAGTGTCCCTTCTAACTTCGCCAACACTCCAAGGTGGCTTTGTCTCTTTAGGACCTCCTGGCAGGAAGAATTTGGTAGAAATTCATGGAGCTCTGTGAATTCACACCGTGTTTCTTAGATGTCAGCTCCGCCTCTGAAAAGTATTTTCTTTATGATGTAAAAAACCAAAAGCATTCAGCTTCTATAGCGTTATATTTTTTTCTACTATTTGTTTGAAAACTAGTTCAGTCAACAAGAGTAGTGAATGTGCAAACTAATCCTCCTAGATCTTCTTCATGCATTTTGTCTTTCTGCATTTATTTTAGATCAAAAGTCAGTCATTGGTGTACCAACCTTAGTTCATAAACTTCTATTGGCACCACTCAGCTATCCTCTCCTTATTCTCCAGACTTAAATGTCAATTTTTATCCAACATTTTTTAACAGTGGATACCAAACAATCCCCCCACCCCCAAATACCAAGGATATTGTATTTGTTTCAGACAATTCCAATTAAAGTAGAGAAAGAATATTTTGAGGAGTTAAATAAAATAATGTTGAAAAATATATGGCAGGGAAAGAAGGCAAGAATTAAATTAAAATTGTTACAGGATATGAGAATGAGAGGAGGTTTGGGACTACTCAATTGGGAATTATACTTCCAGACAGTAACACTGATGTGGGTGAAAGAATGGATTGTTTTGAGAAATACTAGATTGTTAACACTGGAAGACCATCATTTAGAATTGGGGTGGCATGCATTTATATGGTATAAGAAAAGAAAAGCACATGGGTATTTTAGGAGACATTATATTCGAGATGCTTTATTGTTAACATGGAAGAAAATAAGGAAATAACATTATATGACAATACCAGTCTCGTTATCAACTATAGAGGCATTTGTGTATCCAATTGTTTTTAAAATGGAACACATAGTTCGATATGGTGAAATTTTAAATGAAAAGGGTGAACTTAAAACAAAGCAAGAATTGGATGAACAAGAGATAAAGATGAATTGGTATTCATATGTGCAAATACATTCAAGATATGATAAAGACAGTAAGACAGAAGGGTTTTACAAAGAACTTGAAGAATTAGATAAAATCTTAACAGGTACTGAGGAGAGGATGATTTAAAAATTATATGGTTATTTACTAGGAGTGAAATTAGAAGAAGAACAAGTTAAAGAAACAATGATTGCTTGGGGGAAAATTTTTGGATATGGGATAGACCTAGAAAAATGGCAGAAACTATGGAATAGAAACTATAGACTAGCAATGTCGACAGCATATAAAGAGAATTTGTATAAGATGTTTTACAGGTGGCATTTACCCCCAGCAAGAATAGCAAGGACGTTCAAGGATAAATCGACAAAGTGTTAGAAATGTCATCAGATCCTAGATCATACTCCCATATGTTGTGGATGTGTGCAGAAGCTAAAAGATACTGGACTAAAATACATCCATGGCTGGAAAAAATGACAAAACAGCATATAGATTTGAAACCAGAGATATTTTTATTGGGAATTTTACCTAAAAGTTACAGAGAATTGACATATTTGATTATTAATGTTTTAACTGCAGCTAGAATTGTATTTGCTCAAAATTGGAAAATGAGAAAATTCCAAAGGAGGAGGAGGTGATTAAGAAAATAATGGAATGTGCAGAAATGAGTAGATTAACATTAGCATTTAGAAAGCAAGAAGAAAAAGTGTACTTTAAGATATGGGATTTATTTTACCAATGGTTAGATAGAAAAGTAGGAAACTATAATATAATACAATATCAATGATATGTTATAATTGATTATTTTGAAATGAACTATAATATGAATTAAAATGAGTAAGAACTGAGATCTGCTCTAAAGGATAATGTGGATTTGAAATTAAAGTCTAATGATGATGTAATAATAATATAATATGACATGGAAAGTTGATTAATGTAATATGAATGTAAACTTAAATTTAAGAGGAAAAGACTGTAGATATTGTGCACAAGAAATATGTACCATCTGACACACTGTATAATTGAAAAAAGGATTTATTTGTCCTTTTATGTTTATGTTTGTCTATGTTTGTTGTTAAAAATAAAAAACTTTTTATAAAAAAAAAGGTTTTCTCCCATGGATTTTTCCATTGGAGTCAACGGCCCAATTAAATATGTGTGGGAGAATCTTTGGGTTTATACTTCAATCATTGGTTTTTAATATCTTGAATGAAAATACCTGACCTTTAGCTTAGATATTCGGAAAAAAACTATCAAAACAATTATTTGCCAGATTCAGGAAACAGCTGTCTCGATACTTCACATCAGATTATCCTTGCAAATTACTTGGGGAAGGGTCAGCCTTTCAAGGGCAGCTGGATCATCAAACAGGCACTACCTGAATTTGATATGTTTTATTGAGATAGGCTGTAGTAACAGAATTTTGATAAGGTAACAGCATTTTCCACCCTCTTCAACCAGAAGAATTAAAAGTGGGCATCCTTTAGCTTATTCCCCATGCTTTCTTATTAACCCAGACTGGGCTCACATTTTGTTAAAGGTCATCCAATGTTTTCTCCAAGGTCATCTCTGTACAAGTTAGTGGATAGAACATTTATATTTCTTCCACATTAAAAGATAGAAGGAAGATTATGACTGCAAAGAGTTCATTTAAGTAGACAAGTGAAAGGGTTAGAATTAAAATCTCCCCATTGAATAATTTCCATAGGACCGTGATTTCTCCCTGACATATATTTACCGCCATGGCAGGAGGATCATCTGAAAACACCTGTAAGAAAGGATTTAATAACGCTTGTATTAGAGAATCTTAAAGGGAGGACAACATCTACAGCCTCTTAATCACAAAACTCAAACTTGTGACCAATGCTAGGAGTATTCACAGAGGGTATTTAGCCATGGCTTCATTTACCACACCATTAAATAAGTTGGGTTGTCTGAGTTAATTTCCATTGAGTTTAAAGCATGGTTTCTAAGCCATAGTGGTCTGCTTCACATATCTTTCTAGGGCTTAAAGCAGAATGCAAAATGGGAGAATAAAAAATGAAATAATGGGGTAAATTAAATCTATGTAGTGTACAGAAGCATATTTCACTCTCCTGGGTCTCTCCTTTAATCGTTCAGAAATGATGACTCTAATCATCTTGTCAGATTATGAAATCCAAACATATAAACCTGGGAGAAAAAGGAGTGACAACATTGGAATACCTGGATTTCCAATCTGATGGATATAAATGACAACATCTGAGCCATTGCTCTTTCTATTCCCAGCCTTCTCCTTGTTTCTCTGAGACTGACACTGGAAATAGTAATTATCCCCATAAATTTGCCATGGACAAAGTGGCATATACATATAGAATTGCCCTGTTGAACTCTGACTTTTAAGGGTGCCAGTTTAACCTCATCTCTTTCTTACCACCTGGATCAATTCAAAACAAAAATGGAAGAAAAGATGCTGTCAACACTTTAAATGACGATTCAGCCACACTATCATTGCCACCCAAGAACTGATCCTAGTTAGAAATGTGCCCTATCATAGAACAAAAACATGGTTTTAATTTATCTAACGAACAATTGAGTGAATTTGACAACGTGGTAACAAAATGCAGCAAAGGTAAACCCAGCGAAAATACTACTGGATAGATATGGAGATTATAAGTCATCCAGGTCATGACTGTCCCAAAGGAGTTTTCAAAAAGCAACTGGACCTTCAGAGTACTAACAACCAGATGACTTCAAAGAATATGAATTCCATTGCCCACCATTCAGTCAGAATTTTAGAAGCTTATTGAAAGAAAGAAATGGATTTGAAGACGCAACAATAATTTTATTTGCATGCAAGCAAGCAGTTATATGGTATTATAGCTCAGTGCTGTGACTTGGATCAAAATGATGAGAGGGAAGACAGTCACTTGCAATGCTTGAGGCTTATGCCCCTCCAATCTGGATTGTTTATGCACAAACACACCCTTTATTATCAAGTTACTATTTAACTATAATTAACGGACTTTGAGAATGCATAGCAAAAGTATATTTGTAGGTGACAAAACCTATATCAACCATTAACAGCAATAAAAATGCACATTATTGAGTGCTGTATCATCACCAATACCCTGTTTGTCCTCCACCCTTGTTCTCATCCCAAATATGCCACCTGACAGGCAGCGTAGGCTCCATGGACCCCAGTCACCCCAGCTCAAGCCAAGGCCCACCAGGACAGCACCATCACTGCAGGTGAACTGGATGTTGTTAGCTGCTGTATCATCACCCATTTGTTGACTTGGTTCCACTCTTAGAGAAAAAGAAACCAAGTAACCTGTGAGGCAGGATTGTACTCTAGTCCATGTTCCCCACCTGCCAAAAAAGACAAAGATGGATAAGCATCACTTTAGTATGTAAATTAAACACATGCACCAGTCTAAAAGATTCAGACATAATGGCTAAAATCCTGGATTATAAATCAAGTTAAAGTCTACTTTTACCTATCAAAATTCATTAAATAATTATCTCAATAATTGAATTCTTTGAGCTAATGTAGGGGAAAAAAGTTGGAATGGAGGGCTTGTGACTGCTAGCATGAACCCCTAGGAAAAATGGGATAAAGAATACTTCCCTTGATCTCTTTTCCAAGACTTCTCCTAATCCATGTCATGTTCAGAATCCATTGCAATAGGGATTTCTCATTCCACAAATTGTCTTGCACTATTATAAGAATCATTTCTCCTCAAAACAAGACCTCTTTCTTTTATTACCCACCAGTGAAGAGGTGAGTCATTATTTAACTAGAAATCCACTATGGAAATCCAGTGCCTCATTTTCTTAGTGGAAGTCTGGGGTTACCTCTTTACATTAAATACGATGTTCCACAGGAAAAAATAAATGAATTAACCACTAGTCATCTCCTTTCCCATTCTTCATGACAAGAAAATGCTATATGATAATAAAAAAGAGTCAGTTACTCACGGTCCAACTTTAGACTCAATTGTTGTGCCATCGGTACAGTACAAGCGGATTCCGTTCAAAGCTGTATTGTCCTTTGCCCCCTGCTTTTCTTCCACCTAAGAGAATATGACCCTGATAAAGTTCTAGATCAGACTTTTTCCCCTTGCTGTCTTTCATATTTCGATTCTCAGAAATGCCAACATTTACCCTTAAATATTGGAAAATGCATTTGGATCAAGATTAGATTGGTCATAAAATATTCCACACCAAACTCAATGCCTTTCTTTCATTAGAGAATCAAAGAGAGTTAAGCACCAACGCAATTACTTTTTGATTGCCTTTCTTGAAAGATAAGCTGAAGAATAATTTCAAGAGAAGATTCAGAAGTTAAGCAGCACCTGAAAAATAATGTTTACCTTGAGGGAGAAGCCATTAGCATAGCCTTTATTGCAAAATTCCTTTTGGCCCCATTTACCCCAGTAACCCGCATTTAGCACATTGAGCTCATATGAATACTTTCGGGCTTCGGTATACCACAGGCAGCAGGAGATAGTCAAGAGAAGAGTGGTGCTGGCAGAGAAATCCATGGAAACCAGTTTCCTTCTTGAAACAGAAAAGTCTTCAGATATTGCAATTTCCTAGAAACCGGAAACCAATCGTAAAGTATCCGCAGTACCACCCTTATGAGAACATGCTTTTCAGTTCTTTTATTTTGTACCTTTGTATCAGCCGTAATTCTAGGGAACTGTCTGGGTTTGATCCTCAGTTTTCTTGGTAAGATTTCAGAAACGTTTTTTTCACTGCCTCCTTCTTCCTAGAGCTTAGATAGAGGGACTGGCCCAGTTGGCTTTGTACCTAAGACGTGACTCAATCCCCAGCCTGATGTCTTAACCAATAGAACCAATTGCTTGTAACTATTTTTATTGACTGTTTCCTAGTATGATTCAATTGCTTATTGTACCCTATGACTATTATTAAGTGTTCTACTTTATGATTCTTGACTCTTGATCAATGTATCTTTTCTTTTATGTGCCAAGATAGAGCATTTGCACCAAGACAAATTTCTTCTGTGTCCAAAAACAGTTGGCCAATAAAGAATTATATGCTATTCTACACCAAACTGGTCTCTACGATCAACAGCTTAGAGGATTCATGGCTTATAGCAAAAAACAGAGAGTGACATGGACTGTGAACTCAAGTACATGATTTTTAGAATCTTGCACAAACTTCAATTCCAATAAAATTAGTCTGAGTCAACTAGGTATGTTGAGAAACCATTTGCATATTTTGCATAATTTTTTTCAAGTCAAAATGCATTTTGTCATTGTATTAATGGAGGAAAGTTATATCTAACATTAATTTATAACATGTAACATATAACAAAACATAACATTAATCATAAACACTACAATCAAAAAGTCGTAAACACATAATCACTGGGTAATTTTGAGATTCTTGCCAAGACTGTTGAAAAAAAAATGAGGAAAGGGATTCTAGGTAAGCCATTAGAAGCTCCTCAAGGAAGAAGTAGAGCTAAATAAATAAACTGCCTGCCCCTTGAACTGAGTAAATCCTGTTTTTCGACTCTGTGAAAATGCCTAGAAATCCCAAAAGGCCAGCTTGCCATCTGAGGCATGGGTTGTATTAGGATTAGTCTTCCCCACAAGACCATCACTTTGCACACAGGGGAGATTGCTAAGACAGCCATTTTGGAAATATGCCCATTAAATGTTTTCAACATTCCAAATTGGCTCATGCACCAAAAGATTGTCTCTTGCCCCCTTACTCCTTTCTTACACTGTGTGTACCTTTTCTCTTTCCCATTCTATAGACTCTTTTGCTTTTGCTCTGCCTTAATTTCTCAGTCTCTCCCTCCTTCTGAAATGT